TTGAACTCAGGCCCTTGCGCTTGCCAGAGAAACGCTTATTCCACTGAGCCATCTCCCGGGCCCCTAGTCTGTACAATTTAGACCTATGTCAAAAACAAAATAGGGGGGCTGGTGAGATGGCTCAGTGGTCTAAAGCACCTACTTAGAACAAGCTCTGCAAAGCACAGGGACCGCGCGGTTCAATCCCCCAGCACCACATGCCAGCCAGCTGCGCCCCCTGGTGGGCTGAGCTGGCCACACACACACACACACACACACACACATAAATAAAATAAAATAAAGTTAAAAAAAAAAAATAGGGGGGCCAGGAGATAGCTCAGTAGAATAAGTGCTTGCCTGGCAAGCATAAGGGCCTGAGTTGAATTCCCCCCCACCACACACACACAAAAAGCTGGGCATGGTGGTGCACACCAGTAATTTCAGCACTCAGGAGGATTTTTATAAGTTGGAGACCAGGGCTACAAAGTGGGCTCAAGACCAGCCTAAACTACATAGCAAGACCCTGTCTCAAAAAGACAAAAGGGGGGCCTAGGGAGATGGCTCAGCAGAATAAGTACTTGCCTGACAAGTGTAAGGGCCAGAGTTCAACCCCCGGTTCCAACAAAAAAGACAAAGTAAGGTGGGAGGGATACAGCGTAGCTTCTGCCTGAAAGCCAGAGTTCTTTTTTCTTTTCTTTTCTTTTTTTAAGCCAGAGTTCTATTCCCAGTACCAAAGTAAAATAAGATGGGCTGCAGTGGAGCTCGGGTTGAAGTGCCATCCGGGGTGTGCGTGTTTCCCAAAGGCAAGACCTTGCCAGGAGAAAGGTTCACAGGCCACTTAAAGCAAAGGGAAATATTGGTAACTGCGCCAGAGTTTTGTCTTTTGCTCCGGAGTGACGGGGGCTGGAAGGAGTCGATGGGCGTCCAGAAAGGGCTGTGCGGGACACGCGCTAAGCGACTGCCGCAAGCCAGAGGCCCAACCAGCCGCAGGGTTCCACTCGCGCAGCTGCAGACCCCACGGCTGCTAGAACAAGCTCCTCCCCCGGACCCCGCCCCCATCGGAGCGCCGGGCCGCGGAGGCCCCGCCCCGACGCCCGCGCTCCCAAACGCCGTCCGGCGGCCGTACCATCGAGACGCGGGCGCGCCGGGGCTCTAGCTGGGCGCCTCCCGAGCAGCCGCTCTAGCCCGCCCAAGGACGCCGAGCCCCGCGGCCGCCGCATGGGGACCCTGAGGAAAGCACTGGTCGTAGTCGCAGCGCTGGGCGCGGGGGCGGGCGTTGGGTCCGCGCTCTTTGCCTTGGTGACCCCGGGGGAGCTGCAGAAGCAGGCGATGCTGAAGGTAGGCCGCGGGGCGCGGGCGTGCGGCGTGCGGGCGTGCGGCGTGCGGGGCGGAACCCAGAGCCAGCTGTCCCCGCAGGAGATGCCCGAGCAGCACCCGCGGCACAGGGAAGAGAAAGTGCGCGCCCAGCAGCTCGTGATGGCTACGCTGCAGGAGGCAGCGGCCACGCAAGAGAACGTGGCGTGGAGGAAGAACTGGACAGGCGGCGGCCGGTCCGTGTGAGAGCTGCACGCCGGCTGGGGACGCGGGACTTGTGGCCTGCGGAGCAGCGCGAGCAAGCCGGCTTCATCCCCTCATGCAACGCGGAAGCCGCATATGCCTGCTGGGGGCAGGCAGCAACCACACTTTCAAAACGTTTTCGAAGTGTTTTCTAAAGGGAGACCATGCGATGTTGTCTCCCAGGAAAGGACTGATCCAAGGCGCCTTAGCTACACCCCCAGGATCCCTACCCCCGCTTCTTAAAATGTTAAGACTGGATCAGGCCAGTCCCCTAACTTGAGCTTGCTTTTTTTTTTTTTTTGAAACACAATTTTGCGATTGACTTATTAGCACATTTTGCTTTCTTGTAAGTGATAAATGCAAGCAGGACATGAAACATACTAAATTATGCTAATTTAAAATTCTTTAGGGGCCGGGGAGATGGCTCACTAGAATAAGCGCTTGCCTGGCGAGCACAAGGGCCTGAGTTCAATTCCTGGTTCCACAAAAAAAAAAAAAATTAAATAAAAAAGGGGCTGGGGAGATGGCTCAGTGGACTAAGTGCTTCCCTGGCAAGTGCAAGGGCCTGAGTTCAATCCCCAGTTCCACAAAAAAAAAAAAAAAAAACAACTTTAAAATGATACAGCATAGGGGCTGGAGAGATGGCTCAGTGGTCTAAAGCACCTACTTGAAACAAGCTTGGCAAAGCACAGGGACCACGGTTCGATCCCCCAGCACCACATGCCAGCCACCCCGCCCCCTGGTGGGCTGAGCTGGGCACACACACACACAATAAATAAATGTAATAAAAATAAATAAATAATTAAAAATAAAATAAAATGATACAGCATAAACAATTACAGGCTGTGTGATTCATGTAGATAACAGTAATGTGAGAGCAGTAAGTTTTACCTAAAGCGCAATGTTTTCACTAAAAGTTACTGAAAAGTGAAACACCAAGATATAACTGACGGCCTCAGTAATAAGTTCATCTGAATGATTAGACACTTAGGAAACGCTAGTATTCTTTCACTGTGACCGTCAAAGCAACATTTTCTATTAAGAGTGAATTAGGTCCTCTTTGCTGCAATCTGTCGACGTATCTGGTGTGATGAATCAACCCCAAACCAAGTACCACGCGAGTCATCTCATCAGTTGTGAAGATACAGGTCGGCTCACCTTCTTGCAAACTGCAGCTCACCACATTTCTTCTGGTATTGTCAGCATTGATAATTTTTTGTTTCAAGGTAATTAATGCTTCAATACATTCATTTAAATTCTGCTGCAGCAAGGAGGCGCAGCCCTGGCACGCCACCGAGTGGGTCTTGCCCGGCCTGCTGGACACGCACACCTCAGGGGCCCGCGGCCTTGGCCCTGCCCTGCCCTGCCTCTGCTGGTGCTGCCCGGGCCTCCACCCGCTTTGCGCTGGGTCTGGGCGGGTCATCCGTGCACAGAGGTGCCTGTGGAGCTGATGAGCCTCCCGCCTCAGGCACTGGAAAATGAGCTTGCTTTTATTTTTGGCGCAACCAGAGATTGAACTCAGGCCCTTGAGCTTGCCAAGGAAGCGCTTATTCTACTGAGCCATCTCCCCGGCCTCGTGGGCTTGCTTTTGGTTCTCCTGCCTTAGCCTCCCAGTAACCTGGGGTTACAGGTATGCACCATCATGGCCTCAGTATCGAGGACATACTTGAAATCTAGGCTGCCTAGAAACTACCAACATATGCTTGCATTTTAGGTTTGATGGTGTTGTCCAGCACCTAAGGACTAGCAATGCCTCACTACTGGTTTTTTTGCTGATCCAGGGATTGAACTCAGGCTCTACTGAGCCATGGGGGCCTGCCCACTACTGGGTTGTTTTTTTTTTTCGGTACCAGTGATTGAACTCGACCTTGTGCTTGCCAGGCAAGTGCTTATCTACTGAGCTATCTCCCCAGCCCTCCCTACTGGGATTGATGAAGAGCAGTCACCTATGAAGACCTAGTTCTGGGGCTTGGGAATGTAGCTCAGTGGCCCAGCACCTGCCCAGCACTGTGAGGTCCTAAATTCTATTCTAGATCCTCCCGCTCCCACAAAAAGATCTGGTTTGACTTTGTACACAGTAGAGAACCCAAATCCTCTTTCCTGTTCTACAAATCATAACCGTCTGGGTAAGGCGGTCTCTGCCTACGTCCCAGCACTCTGGTGGTATGGGCAGGAGCACAGCAGCAAGTGGGACGCCAGTGTATAAGCAAGTTCAAGACCTCACTACCTTGAGACCTTGCCTCAAAACCAAAACAAGGGGCCTGCCCATTAGCTCCAGTGCCTGCTGAAACAAAGCGGGCAGGCTCAGGATGCTGTGGTTCAATCCCCTCATCCTCAAGCCAAACCAGACCTGCCCTGAAGGTATCCTGAGCAGCTCCCTAAAATAAACCAAAACAAAGGTGTGGTGGTGCACACCTGCAATTGCAGCACTCAGGAGGCTGAAGCGGGAGAATCACTAAGTTCAAGGCCAGCTGAAGTACAGAGAGTAGTGTCTGCCCTTAGTAAATGTGAACTATTCTAAGGTTTTCACCAGTGGATTCCAACCCTCCACCCCATACTGAGGATGGAACCCAAGGGTCCTCTAATAGTGAGCTACATCCAGCCTTTTGGAAAGCTTTACTTTTTGAGATAGGATCTAAGACTAAAAAATCTCAGTCTTCCACTCTGAGCCTAGGCATAACCTCTGGCCCAAGGATGCTCAATGAGTGACGCCCTCATCCCCGTTTTATTCCTGCAGCTCCCATGTAGACCTGTAATTGAAGAAAGGCTGCACTGATTAAAAGTCAGAACCCTAGGGCTGGTGAGATGGCTCAGTGGTCTAAAGCACCTACTTAGAACAAGCTAAGCCAAGCAAAGCACAGGGACCGCAGTTCAATCCCCCAGCACCACATGCCAGCCCGCCCCGCCCCTGGTGGGCCGAGCTGGCCACACACACACTAAATAAATAAATATTAATTAAAAAAAAAAAAGTCAGAACCCTACTCTGCTGGAAATGAAAGTCAAACAAAAGCGTATATAGCAGTATTTTGCCATCTTTCTCATTACCTGATGACCCTGCCCAATTTTTTTTTTTTTTTTTTTGGTGCCGAGGACAGAACCCAAGGCTTCCACCTTGGTAGGCCAGCTTTCTACTGCAGAGCCAAATCCCCAGCCCCCCTGCCCAGTTCTGTCCCACCCAGCTATTCAAGTATTCAAGAAGGAACCAGGCACAAACAGAACACATGGGGCCCATTTATTAGGATGGAGATATCAGCGCCTTAGCAAAGATGAAGGTCAAAAAGGATGGCAGGATACAGGATCTTCAGCTGGGACATTTCTTGGCCACAATGAGTACAGCAGAAGGCACAAGTCCTGAGGATCCATTGAAGGAAACAAGCTTAAAACCCAAGGGCTCTTGCTTCCCACTCCCCAAATCCTGGCCTCACACCAGGAGTGGCCCCCTCCCCAGGTAGTCACACCCCCACTGCTCATGCCATACCCAGCTCCTGCAGGGGCCGCTCCATGTCAGCCTCAGAGAAGGCACGTCTGGGGAAGCCGCTGAGCAGCTGCACAGGGTCCTGGGCCCCTCCAGCCTCTGCCCCACGATGCAATTCCACATAGAGTCTCACGGCTGCCAGCTGTTCCTGGGCCTGGAAGGTCTGGGTCAGTGAAGTCCCATCTGGCAGCCTGACCTGGAGGGCAAGGGAGACAGATGCCCAGCACCATGCGCATCAACAGAATGGCCAGTAGCCACACAGCTAAAGCTGCCCCCCCCCCCCCGACTTAACTCTAGCAAAACTTAAAAGCTCCAAAAGAGGGCCGGGGAGATAGCTCAGTAGAATAAGCGCTTGCCTGGCAAGTGCAAGGGCCTGAGCTCCTAAAGAAAAGCCACTCATGGGGCTGGGGAGATGGCTCAGTAGAATAAGTGCTTCTCTGGCATGTGTAAGAGTCTGTTCAATCTCCAGTTCTGCACCAAAAAAAAAGCCACTTATGCCCTGCTTTATTAGGTATGAATATCTTCTGTTCCTTCACTACAAGGCGGTACACAGAAACATCAAGTTCAAATCAGTGGGTCAGCAGGCTGGGGAGATAGCTCAGCGGCGTAAGTGCCTGTCTGGCAAGCCCAAGGTCCTCAGTTCAATCCCCTATACCACAAAAAACAAAAAAATTCAAATCCTGGGGGCCTGCCCCTTAGCTCAGTTCTTTAAGTGGCTGCTTCAACAAAGCAGTCAGGCTCAGGTTGCTGTGGTTCGATCCCCACAACTCAAGCCAGTCAAACCTGCCCTGAAAGCATTCAGAGAGGAGAAAAAAAAAATCAAATCCTATAATCTTAGAACTCTGGAGGCTGAGACAAGAGGATCCCCATGATGACTTCAAGGACAGCCCCAGCTGCAGAGTACAGGGCCAGTCTGAATAACAGTAGTCAGGGCCTGTCTCAAAAAAATTAAAAAAAAAAAAAAAAAAATCACAAAATTATGCTGGGCATAGTGGCGAATGCCTGTAATCCCAGAGGATTGCTGAGTTCTAGGCCAGACTGGTTGCATAGTAACTTCAAAGCTAGCCTACACTACACCGTGACACCCTATCGCAAAAAAAAAAAAAAACAAACAAATAACAAAATTAGCTGTGTAGTAAACCAAACAAAAACAAAGACAACTAAAAGAGCAACTGTTGGGGCCGGGGAGATGGCTCAGTGGAATAAGCGCTTCCCTGGCAAGCACAAGGGCCTGAGTTCAACCCCCGGTTCTGAGAAAAAAAAAAAAGAGCAACTGTTGCATAAAAAGTTATGGACTTAAGCAGGAAAACTCAACCTCTTCTGTAACTAGGAGATAAGGGTTCAAAAGTCATTTACAAAGGAGGGAGAGATTTGGCAACTAGAGATGACTGCAGAATTTCTGAGCTGGCTACCTTACAGGTTTCAGGAGCCAGACAGGAACCATGTCAATACCTGGATGCGACACTGGTCATACTCCCGCTTGGTAGGAGGCTCCTGGCTGGGAGAAGACGGTACAGGACCTGGCTCTGTCACTGGCAGGGATGGCTGAGGACCTACATTACCACCATACTGGAGGACAAAGTAAGAGAGTAACCCTTAGGTGAAACCAGCATGTAAGCCCATGCTTTCCCTCTAGGTGATTAACCCAGCTACTACTTTTTACAGCTTTCCCCATCACCCACCTTCTTAGCTCTCTCTGCCTTGTCCCTTTCAATCTTTTCTCGAACCCTCTGTCTAGAATGTAGACAGGAAGAAAATAGGTCAGATGCAAACAAAAGCAATGTGATGTCTTCCTAGTTACTGACCAACCACCTCGCCCCACACAGACCTGGCTGCTAACTCCTCAGCCTTCTCCCGCCTGCGCTCCTCTGCAGCGCGGCGCATGTCATCTTCCTGCAGTCTCTGTCGAGCCGCTGTCAGCTCCTGCCCTTGCCGCCTGCGCTGCCTTTCTCGTTCCAAGGATTCCCGCTCCTCCCTTTCTTCCCTTTCCCGCTGCTTCTGGGCCACCAGCTCCATCATCCTGTTTTGCAGAGAGAAGAGTTCAAAAGCAGCACATATGGAAATGGAAGGCAGATTTACAATTGGAACACGTATCTCATAATAAAAGAAGAAACGCCAAGAAAGACGACGACGACGAAGCTAAACGTGCCCCTCACTAGTGAAGCGCATACTTAGCATGCCTCAGGCACTGGGTTTTAAAAACAAAGCCAGGCGTGGCGTTCCACCTCTGCAATGCCAGCGTTCCTGAAGCTCAGGCAAGAGGGTAGCTGAGGAGCCACAGCGAGCCTAGCTCCCCAGTAAGATCTTGCCTCCGAGAGACCGCAACAGAGTAGGGGCCGTGGCCCGGCTGGTTCCGCGGCAGAGCTCTCGCCTTACATGCACAAGGCCCGGGCTCGCCACCGCACGCGACCTAAACGGAGAGGCCACGGGCTGCCCGGACTCCGCAGGGCGCAAGGAGCCTGCGCTTCACCTCCTGGTCTGCTCCTGCCGCTCCTCTTCGCTCAGGACCGGTCTGCTCTCCCCGGCGGCCGCACGGGGACCTGCAACGAGCGCCGGGGTTACAGCGTCCGCGGCCACCCTCGCCCCTGCCCGCGTCCGCCCCTGGCGCGGCCGCCCCGCCGACCTTCGGGCCCCGGCTCCCC